GGAGCGGGGGTGCTCCCAGGTGTCCCATCCAGCCCCCAGACTTGTTATGTGTCCTAAAAACACACCCAGCACCCAGATGTGAAGAACAGCAAATCTCCTACACAATCAGTGGGGTCAAAAGCCACTTAGATCCAGAGGGAGATGGATAAAACTGGGCAAAGAGATGGGTATTGCCCCAGCGAGATGGGGATCCGCTGCGGGGGATCCGTGGGTCGCTCGTCCCAGAGCCAATGGCTTGTTCGAGACACCCGGGGGCCTTGGCCTCCAGCACCAGGGGATCCTGCCTGGCGTTTGAGGCCATCTCTGCCATATTGGACATTTTGGAGGAGTTTTTGGCATCTGGGCCTGCTGCCCTCTGCGGGTGCCGGGCCCCATTGCATGATCTAGATGTTGCATCTCCCTTGGGGTTCTTGTTTAAGCTAAAGGCAGACTATTTATCTTGCACTAGGCAGGAGAAGCCACTTGGGGGTGTTTCAGCATCTCCCTGGCGTTCCCAAAGCACCTGCTGCTTTTGCATGTCCTTTGGTGCTGGATCAGCTGGAGAACTGGCTTAAATTTTGGTGAAAATACAGGTTTGCTCCAAACCATCGTGACCAAGCAGGGGGCCCTTCTGTCCCCGCTCTCCCTGACCAGGTGACCCAAAGCAGAAGAGGACCCGCCTGGGGCAGCACCCTGGGGTGCCTGGGCTCTCGTAGCGCCTTTTCCTGATGCATTTCAGAGCCCTCCCTGTGGACGGGATCTGCTCCTGGCATCCCGGCCCCAGGGATCCTCCCTGGAGTCTGCCGAGTGTCCGAGTGCTCCCGTGTCCTCCCGTGCTGCTCAGGTTGTCCCCAAGGAGGCGGTTTGTCATAGTGTCCCCATGTCATGCAGGGCCTTGCAGACAGACTTGGCACAGCCTGGTGCCAACCCCGTGCAAGGCAGAGCCCCCTTTTTTCTTGCTTTTACCCCCATTTTCGCATCCCGGTGCCGCTGCCCTCTTGGAGCTCCCACGCAGGGCCACCCCCGCGGGGACGCTGCTCATCCTGCGCTCCCCGCGGGGTGGCAGTGCCACTGTCCCCATGCGGTGGCAGTGCTGTTGTTCCCAATGGAGCGGCATTACCGCTGTTCCCACGGGATGGCAGTGCTGCCGTCCCCACGCGGTGGCAGTGCCACTGTCCCCACGGGGTGGCAGTGCTGTTGTTCCCAATGGCGCGGCAGTGCCGCTGTCCCCATGTGGTGGCAGTACTGCCGTCCCCGCGCGGTGGCAGTGCCGTTTTCCCCGGGCGGTGGCAGTGCCCCTGTCCCTGCAGGGTGGCAGTGCTGCTGTTCCCAATGGGGTGGCAGTGCCGCTGTCCCCATGTGGTGG